GGAAGCTGAAACTCCAATACTTTGGCCACCTGATGCGAAGAGCTGACTCATTTGAAAAGACCCTGGTGTTGGGAAAGAATGAAGGCAGGAGGAGAAGGGGACGACAGAGGATGAGATGGTTAGATGGTGTCACCAACTCAATGGATATGAGTTTGGGTAAACTCTGGGAGCTGGTGATTGACAGGGAGGCCTGGCGTGCTGTGGTTCATGTGGTCACAAAGAGTTGGACACGACTGAGCAACTGAACTGAACTGAACTCTGCATATAAGTTAAATAAGCAGGGTGACAGTATACAGCCTTGACGTTCTCCTTTCCTTATATTGTTGTTTAGTTGCTAAGTCATGTTGGACTCTGTGCGACCCCATGGACTCTAGCCCACCAGAGTTTTCTGTCCATGGGATTTTCCAGGCAAGAATACTAGAGTGGGGTGCTGTTTCCTTCTCCAGGGGATCTTCCTGAACCAGGCATCAAACCCGCATCTCCTGCATTGGCAGGCGGGTTCTTTACCACTGAGCCACCAGGGAAACCCTCTGACATTGTGTGGTTTTAGCTTTTGACAAATGACTATGGACAGTCACCAATTGTCAGGAAAAGAAGCAGAAAAAGAGGGCATAGATGAGGCAGCACTATGGTATAGGGCAGTTAATTACTATTTTTAAAATTGATGGTATTCATTTATCATTTTAAGGAAAAACTAAATTATCATCATTCAACAAATATTATTATGTGACCACTGTCTCCCAAGCCATAGAACACCACAGTCCTTAGGAAACTAATAGTTTAGGGCAATTTAAAGCCCAAGGGACTTCACAATCACAACTGCTCATCACTAGGCCCCAGTGTGAGTCCACTTATTTGGTATTTATAAGAGGATAGAAAAGACTATAATTGTTCTGAACTTTCCATTCCGTTGGGTTAAAATCTGTTGGAAGTTTGGTGTTTAATAGCTGCAAAATTACTCTTCTTACTGTAGAAGATAAAAAACGGAAATTGTCAAATCATGGCTATCATGTTCAGAAAATAAAATGTAAATATATTGTGAACACACAAAACTTGCAGAGTGGATGAATAGCTATTACTGAGATGTGCTGCCATCTGCAATTTAAAATGGAGCAATTGTCTTCTCCTTCCAAACTGCCCCACTTTCTGCTTCTACAAGACTTGTCGTAAGTGCAGGAAGACAGTCATGTGGTTGCTGAACAGGAGGAGGCCAAGAAAGTCTGGTCCTGAAATCTCTCCAGAACTAAAGCTAAAGTTACCATTAATAATTATAGCAAGTCACTCAGGTTAAATTAGGAGTTTGGGGCCACTTCATTTCAAATGAAGCATCCCTGGAGAGTTATAACATTATAGCCTTCTTTCTGTTACTGAAAATGATCATTAGAAAACTTTTTTTTTTCTGGAGTAGGCAAAATGGTGGGCAAGAAATAAAGCTCATGAAATGGACATTAAGAGAAATGGACTACTTGTTTTGTATTTTTGCTTCTGGCCAATCATGTGCCAGTTCTAATGAAAGGCTTTTGTTTTAAAGACGTTGTCTTAGTATTAAAATGTCCCATGTCCCTCATGTAAATTGGCCTTGCCAGCAACAGACTCACAAATAATGCATCCTTGTGCCAAAGTTGCCTCAGCCAGCTTCATCAAGACTAAAATAGCAAGCCAGCCTCTTTGTTGTCCATTTTGTTCCCTTTTGCTTCTTCCTTAAGAAGTTTTGTTTATGTCTAACCCTGAGAGAGGTTTACTGCTTCCTGGGAAATTTGGTGAAGATGCTCATTATGTTAGTTTCAAAAGAACTGCAGTTTTAAGTCTTAATGATTTTTTTTTCTAATTACAGCTGTGTTCCACAGCAACTATGGAGGAGCTGGACAAGTGGAAAGATAGGAAAATCACACTGTGCATTTTTAAAAGTATCTTTCCCTTGATTTTCTTAAGACTTCAAGAAATTTTGTCAATACAAATTATAACAACATTTAAAGATTTTGAATATGGTAAACTTTTCCTTGCCCCAAACTTTGGGTGTTTTTCCTTCTTTCTGTGCCCTGGTTGAGCAGTTGTCTTGGCCATCTCCACCATTCCCCATTGTTGATGAGCTAACTAAAGTTTAAAACAGCTGCATGCATGAACAATGATACTGTAGCTGAGAAACCATGGCACTCAGTTTTTGGGGGTTTTTTTTTTTTTGTTTTTTTTTTTTTTGCACTCAGTTTAAAAAAAAAAATACATATAAACAAGTTATATGGGTATTAGATGGGAAGTTTTCATATTAGAATGCACAGATAAGAAAATTAGACATGGCTAGATTTTTTCTGAAAATCTGGTTGCTGAAGGTAATTTATGCTTGCTGCCTTCAACTTGTATCTGCAATAGTCTTGAATTTGATCTGGGAAAGGTTCAGGATTTAAATGGATTTCCAGTGGGATCAAAAGAGAAAAGTGCCAGCAAGTTTGTCAAAGGAGATCATATGTCAGAAATGATCCCATCTCACATACCCACAGCACCATGAACATTCTTTGGCCATATAAATCATCTTCAGTGAAAGTGCATATATTCTGAGGCAAACAGAAATAAAATTGCACTTATCATTTATCAGCCTCAAATTTCTTAATCCAAAGTAGGCTTTAAATGTCATCACTTAGAATTAAAAGGTTAAGGCTCAGCCTTTCTTCATTTATCACATAGTTTTCAAATAGATGTTGATTTTTTTTTCCCATTTAAACAAGTGGGCATAACTCAGTGGTTATCAGGTTGATGACAGAGTCCCTCTTCCTTTGTCCAGACTAAAGTCTATAATATATGTTATGGTACAGTAAGGGGTAAAAAAGAATATAAAACTTTGTTTTCCAATAAATGTTAGTGTATACATGTAGTGTATACATGTTAGTGACTGTACATATTTTCCCTTTCATTTTTACTTTATTTATTGTTATTAAAAATAAAAATTGTATTTTTAACTGTAGTGAATGACACATAACATAAAGTTTACCATCTTAACCATTTTAGGAGTACATATAAGTGATTTTAGGGCATTCACATTGTTGTACTACTATCTCTTCATATCTTAACCTCATAAAATTGTCCTCATTTGTGCTTTCCCACTAATATCAAACATACACATTTTAACACATCCACTGTCAAAAGTGTTAAATATGAATTGTTTATTTTGTAAACATACCAGCTGAATATTATCTTTTAAATATTTTTTTCTGAGTTATAATAGAGGAATAATTTTCAAATTTTGAAGTTACAATTCTTTCCACTTCTTTATAATATTACTAATTTATCAACTGGAATATTTTATGTGGTCTCTGTGCTTGTAATTTAAAGCTAATGCTCAACAATTTCACTTGTCATATAAACAACACAGTATATAGTGTAGTATAGGTATAGTATAGAAGTATAGGTATAGCAAATGCAAAAATTGAATCAATATAATAATTTCCATGTATACAATTAGGGCTTTATTGATGGTTGTTTTCAGAAAGTGTTAAAGATCAGAGTTTTGTCTTTATAATATGCAGAATTTGAAATAAGAATTGAGAAAATGAGCATTTTCTCGAGCAGATAGTTTTTCTGCATTTTAAGCCTACAATCCAGCATGTGCACAACCTTTATTCCCTCCCAAATAATTTACTTGCTGTCATTGAAAAGAATTTTAATGTTTTCCTGACTTCTTGTCATAGCTCAAATTTATCACCCATGACATTGTTCATTCTTGGCTGTTAAATGCTCCCATATAATCTGAGATGCTTTATATTTTCTCTGTACTTCTCTTTGCTGACATTATAGAGTGAGCTGCCTGTCAATATGTTTATCCTTCTTGAATCTGGAGAAGGGCACAGAAAGCCGTGTGGTTAGTTGAACTGGACTGCTTATAATTTTGCTTCACTGATAAAGCTGAACTGTTTGTTTTTAAGAAAGTCATCATCTATGCCCTGTTTTTGGTGTACAGCCACATACTCTGTTTATGCACAAGTTAGCATTGCCACCATGGGCAACAACTGTCACTTTACATCCCATTTTTGAAGGCCCTCTTGAAGTTAATGATTTATATCTAAGAAGTAAATCCCTCCTGGGAACTGTCCGTGAAAAATAATTTTTAATTGGATTTGAACAAATACAGCCCTTTTCCTACTGACTCTCATACTGGGTCTCCTTTTCTACCTCATTAATGCGATTCATGGGGTCACAAAGAGTCGGACACGACTGAGTGACTGAACTGAACTGAACTGAATGTCCTCATTGGGCTAAATGTTAACACGCCATTGACCTCTGCAGTATGAACTGCTCCTGGGAGACTTAATAAGTTTATCATGATAACTGTAAGAGCAGTGGAATATGGAAGGATCTGAGACAAATATTAGCACAGAGAGAATAGAATGAGTTGTAAAATAATGTCAAATAAATACAAATAAGAAAACTAGAGTTGTTAAAAATCTACCACAAAATTATTCTTGTTTGGAGGCCAAAGGATGTTCTATAACTGTAATCCTAATTATAAATTACAAGTCAAAAAATACTAAAAACAATTTATAATTACCTATACCTGGAGAAGGCTTGGCAACCCACTCCAGTACTCTTGCCTGGAAAATCCCATGGACAGAGGAGCCTGGTAGGCTGCAGTCCATGGGGTCGGGAAGAGTTGGACACAACTGAGCGACTTCACTTTCACTTTTCACTTTCATGCATTGGAGAAGGAAATGGCAACCCACTCCAGTGTTCTTGCCTGGAGAATCCCAGGGACGGGGGAGCCTGGTGGGCTGCCATCTATGGGGTGGCACAGAGTCAGACACGACTGAAGTGACTTAGCAGCAGCATACTTGGAGAATATGTTTAAATTCACATTATATATTCACTTAGCAGACTTGCTTTCTGTTGAAAATCACTCTGGATACATTTCAAAGATTATAAAGATTTTGAAGTATAGATATTTGATTTATTGCAAATGAATATCAGTGTTTTCATTTTAAGGAAATCACCGGTTTCTTTTTATTGAACTGTAGCTCAAAGAATCATTCAAAGAAATAAAAAAGAAATTCAACAATTTGAAGTTTAATTACACTAAGAAAAATGAAAAAGCTCGAAATCTAAAAGCTCTCAAATATCAAATTCAACAAGTGGATATGTATGCTGAAAAACTACAGGTAATGAGAATATACTTGTATGTGTGTGTGTGTGTATGCTATGATTATTGCAAAATTATTTTTTTAGGCATTTCAATTCTAAATGCCTAACTCTTAGGCTTTTTTATACCATTAGAACTGAAAAGATAGTTTTTAGTTTTTATAACAATTGGGTGCTTCATATAAAATATATAATTTATTGATTTATCTCTTGAAGCATCTCCAGAATGATCTCTGTCAAACCTATCCAGCCTCATTGCTCCCATTCTCCCCACTATACACACACACACACACACACACACACACACCTCTTATACACCCCTTTTTCTTTCCTTGCACTCACCTATATCAGGAGCTTCTTCCACTGCTCCTGCAGGCCCTAATACCTTTCCTGATTATTGCTTATGCTGGCTAATTTGATTGCTTTCTCAGGAGACAGTGAGCTGAGTGCAATAAAATATTTGATTTTATGGTCTTGGTCCTTTTTAAAAAATCATAGCATTCTCAAACTATTGAATAGATCCTGCTGTAGAGTAAATTTTCTCTATATTTCCTGAATGCTGAATCAATAAACTATCTGAAAGGAAACCTATTCTTGCCAAAATGTGTTTTAATAATTATTATTTTAACATATTAAGTGAAGGAAGCTATAAAAGTTTTTCAAAGTTTTCCCCTCAATATTTAATTACTAACTAGCTGAGTAAATAAAAACTGATTATCATTAAAAAAAATTTTTTTTTGCCCAGGCTTTGAAAAGGAAAATGGAAAAAGTTGAGAATAAAACTTCTTTCTTAAATTATCCAAATAATAAAGAGAATATCCTTTTGGAAGCCATGAGGGATTTGCAGAAGCATGTGGATGAATTTGACAAAGTTGTAACAGATTACAGGAAGAATTTGGACCTGACTGAGCATCTCCAGGAGTTGATAGAAGAGGTATTCTCTTCTTGTTGTCATGTTATCTGTATTATAATTTTTTTTTAACTTCTCTTGCTTAGAACAACACTGCATTAGCTATTATTGTCATTAAATTAATACATCATGCTCCTTTTCATGATTATATCCTTAGGATAATTTCCTAATGAAGAACTGCTGTACCAAAGGGATACATGTTACATGGTTTTGATTGTATTGTCCAGTTGCTCTTTGGAAAGATTTTACTAATTTAACTCTTCTTACCAGAAACACAGGAGAAATTCTCATTTCTCCATAACCTCGTCAACTCAAGATGTTTAATCATCATGAAGTTAATTATATTCACTGTTGGATATCCGCTAAAATAATCAATAATGACTTATTTCACAGAATTTGAGAATGTTTAGAGAGACAGTTGATAATTGGATTTTTCAGGTATAAAAATTCTTCTTGGTATTATTTCATTTTTATCAAGAGGATAAATGGCAAAGTATACATAAATTATATGAAATTGGCAAGTTAAAGTCATTATTTGCACACTTCATAGTGAAGAAACTCTACACTTGAAGTTCCTGAGCATTTTTTGTAGCCCATAATTCTAAGTTACAAAACCTCTCTCTTTCCCACTAATGCAATAATAGAGCTTTTAGATTTAACACCACATTAGGAGGATTGAAATGATCATTCTTCCATATCTGATGTATAGGTTTGCTGTACTTCTATGGCACTTATTTAAAGCCAACTCCTAACAGAGTCATGTGTTTCTATTTCTCACTCAGCATAAGTGCTTCTGGCCTTGGTCAGACACATTTCTTTCATCACAGTTATTTATTTTTAGTGAGAAACTGTCTCAATTCTCCACTATGCTTTGAAAATATGACTATTTTCTATCAAGAAAAGGTCAAATGCTATTCTTCAAATGATATTTCCTTCATCTACAGACTAAATCTTATTCCTAAAAGAATTTATTTGTTGGAGTGTTATTTGGGCAAAACTTTATCCATATATTGTTAATGATTTCAATTAAATAGGCTGGATTTTGTGTGTTTCAGCTTTTTCTTATGTTTAGCTGATATTTGCATTCTCTTTTGTGCCAAATGCTTTTTTTAGAATGCCTGTTCTTATAAGTCTGCAACTTTTCTCTTAGGAATTATATTTCAGGCAAATCTAAGAAAGCAGAAAAATCAAATTGATTTCCATACATCTACTTTCTTATCTGACTCTAATTTCCAAGTGCAGTGCTCACTTCGGCAGCACATATACTAATTTCCAAGTGCAAAAGTATATGATCATGTTGTGATATTTCCTTTCTTAGGACTTAAAAAGAGTTCACATTAATTACTTCAGTGGGCAAAATGAAGAAATTTGGGAGGATGGTGTCTCTTTATTCTGTGCTTTCTCCCATTTTTATTTAGTGTCACTTTTGGTATGAAGATGCGAGTGCCACAGTTGTAAGAGTGGGAAAGTATTCCGCAGAGTGCAAGACCAAGGCAGCAGTGGAGATCCTCCACCAGCAGTTCAAAAAGTTTATCACACCCGCAGTGCCTCAGCAAGAAGAAAGGATTCAGGAGATCAGTGACCTCGCTCAGCGCTTATATGGTGACGTCTCTTTTAAGATACCCATTGATTCACCACTGAACACGTTTCTAGTGAACCTAGCAGACAGCAGAGCATGGCAAACCCTCAGGGTTCTCACTGTGCCAGCCTATTCTGGGAAAAGGTTCAAGATAAGAGCAAAAGTGAATAATAGGGAATAGAGGAAGGAACTCCTGGGTGCAGGAGATGAAAGCATGTGGATTTTTAATGACCATTTGTAAGCCCTCCTTCTCTCTTCCCTTTCTTCCGCATTAAAACCAGAATAGCACTCAGCTTATGTAGGCAAAAATGAAAGCTAATTTCTATTAGAGTGAGTCCTCAAAACCATGCCCAACTCCCACAGTCCTTGAAATAGGTAGAAAGAGAAGACTGAGGTCTACAGCCCTCATGTTTCTATGAGGATTAAGGTTTGTGGATATAACTAAGAGCTGGAAGGTCTTCCCCTCATCTTCCTCTCATTTGAAGATAAATAGTACATGTGTGCTCAGTCGTGTCTGACTCTTTGCAAACCTATGAACTGTAGCCCACCAGGCTCCTCTGCCCATGGGATTCTCCAGGCGAAAATACTGGAGTGGGTCGCCATTTCCTCCTGCAGGATATCTTCCCGATGCAGGGATCAAACCCATGTGCCTGGTGTCTCCTGCATTGCAGGCAGATTCTTTACCATTGAGCCACCTGGGAAGCCCTGTGAAATAAATGGGAGAATTCAAATCATCATCTCACGGATTGTGCTTTCCTCTTCTCCATGACTGTTGGTCTGAAAAGCCTTTCCATGTGAAGAAGGCCCCCATTTAAAATGCCCATTTGAGGGTGACAGTCCTTGAGGGTGCAAGAATAATTTCATGAATTCCTTGACACTGTTAACTACAAGGTAATTAACTAGAGTAATTCCTAGTGACAGGGCAAACCTGGCCCCAAAAGATGGAGCAACAGTGCTTCATTTGGCTGCCCACAGCTGCTGCCAGATGGATGGTCTCTCTTGTTACATGAAACACTCACTCTCCATGGATAGCCATAAAAATTTTCTCAAACACCATCTATTGCATTAGCTAATACTAAATTAATGAGAATGAATTATTAATGATTTTCCAAAGGAAATGGTAAATACATAAAAATAATAAAATATGAATTGAAAAATTAAAGAAAACTAATGTTATGTTTCATTCCTACTGTATAAGTGTACTAAAAAATTTTGGAGGCACTCCACTCCCATGAAGCGGTTTATGTTTTCTTCAGTAATTATATTTATTACACTGTAGCATAATTGCCTTTTAGTTTGTCAGTCTTCTCAACTGAGCATAAGCTCCTTGAGGGTAAGAGAAATATATTTTATCACTAGGTTTTAGTGCCTATTGAAGTTCAGCACAAAGATCCTATAGAAGTTGTGATTATCCTCCTGTCTTGCAAAATCCCACTTTCCGCCTTGTTTGTATTCCTGACCTTATCACCAACTGACATATTAGATGGTTTTATGTGGTTGTCTGGCTCTCGTGACCGTCGTATAAGCTCCTTGAGAAAAGGGATTTTGCCTGTTAATTCACTGCTTCATGGTACATACTAAGTGCTTAATAATTATTTGATGACTAAATGAATCACTGTATGAATAAATGAACAGTATTGAGTTTTCATCTGTTCAGTTTGGAAGCTATGCATTTTTAGAATTTGCATAAGGTAAAATACTTTAGGAATAGTATATCATCTCGCATCGGTATTGAACCTAGAATTTAATACAAATAAATTTATCTCAAAAATTTTTTTGAGTACCTATTATGTACTTTGTTCAGTTGCTAAGCCATGTCTGACTCTTTGCAACCCTGTGGACTGCGGCACACCAAGCTTCCCTGTCATTCACTATCTCCTTGAGTTTCCTCAGACTCATGTCTATTGAGTCAGTGATGCCATCCAACCATCTCCTCCTCTGTCACCCACTTCTCCTTCCCTCAGTCTTTCTCAGCATCAGGGTCTTTTCCAGTGAGTTGGTTCTTCGCATCAGGTAGCCAAAGTATTGGAGCTTCAGCTTCAGCAACAGTCCTTCCAATGAATATTCAGGGTTGATTTCATTTAGGATTGACTGGTTTTATCTCCTTTCTGTCCAATGGACTCTCAAGAGTCTTCTCCAGCACCACAGTTCAAAAGCTTCAATTCTTTAATGCTCAGCCTTCTTTATGGTCCAACTCTCATATCCGTTCGACTATTGAAAAAACCATAGCTTTGACTATACAAACCTTGTCAGCAAAGTGATGTCTCTGCTTTTTGATATACTGTTTAGATTTGTCACAGCTTTTCTTCTAAGGAGCAAGTGTCTTTTAATTTCAAGGCTACAGTCACTGTATGCAGTGATTTTGGAGCTCAAGAAAATAAAGTTTGCCACTGTTTCCATTTTTTCCCATCAATTTACCATGAAGCAATGTGACTGGATGCCATGATCTTAGTTTTTTGAATGTTGAGTTTTAAGCCAGCTTTTTCACTCTCCTCTTTCACCTTTATCAAGAGGTTCTCTAGTTCCTCTTCACTTTCTGCCATTAGGTGATATTATGGAGCTGTGATTGATATAAAGACCTATACAACCTATTTCCACCATTCGGGAATCCACAGTCTGTGACTAGAATTCACAATATGGTAAATGCAGTGAGAAAGGTCTAAAATGTGTGTTTTCTAAAACTGCCATAACAGAATACCATATACTGGGTAGCTTAAATCACAAAAATTAATTTCTTCAAAGTTCTAGAGGCTGGAAGTCTAAGATCAAGGGGCTCAATGAGTTGGTTTTTTACCAAGGCTTCTCTTCTCTTGCTCCCTCTTCATATAGGCATACCTCTGTGCACAAGCAACCCAGGTTCTCTGATCTTCTCTTAAGGACACCAATCATAATGAATTGGCACCCCACCCTAGTGGCCCCTTTTTAAACTTAATCTTCCTTTAAAGACCTCATCTCCAAATAATCTTACATTCTGAGATACTGGAGGTTGAGTTTTCAATATATGAATTTTAGGTGGGACACAATTCAGTCCATAACAATGTATAATACTTTTTAGTCTGAGCTGTGGAGTCCAGTAGTCCAAGTTTAAATCTCTGCTTTTTCAATTATTGTCTGGGTCACCTGAAGAGTCTCTTCTGAGGCTGGGATTCCTCATTTGGACAATGCAGTAGAACCTTCTAGAGGAAGATTTTGTTAACTAATGCATATAAAGTACCTGTGTGTGTTGTGTTAGTTGCTCAGTCATGTCTGACTCTTTGCGACCCCATGGACGGTAGCCTACCAGGCTCCTTTGTCCATGGGATTCTCCAGGCAAGAATACTGGAGTGGGTTGCCATTTCCTTCTCCAGAAGTACCCAGCCACAGACAAATAAGATGCACTCACTACATAATAGATACTTGTATTATTACTCCAATAGGGAGAGGAAAATCCAGTTGGGAAAGATGAAGAATATTTCCACAAAGATCTTGACATTGGAGGTATACCTTGAAGAGTGAGTAGGATTTGTCCCAACAGAGACAGGGGTATAGGTATTCTTTCCCCATACAGGAAAGAATAGTCAGTGGTTGTAGGGATTTTGAGAGAAAAGTTGCTAGTTCAGTTTGGTCAGATATTAAATATGTGAGGGAATTAGGGAGATATATTTTTGAGAGGCAGGTCAAAACCATATCACAGAGGGCCTTGACTGTATACTTTCTAAGTAGTGAAGAAAAACTGAATGTTTTGAAAAGGAGAAAGGAGGTTAGAGTGGAGCTTTATGAATATTAATATAACAACACTATTTAGGTTACATAAGAGGGACATGGTACAGCAAATGTAACCATTTTTCTAGAATACTTGGTTTTTCCAATGATGCTTTTGTCTACTCAACAAGTATTTAGGAAGTGCTTACTATCTATAGGCCCAGTGTCAGACACTGGGAAAAATTAATGCCTGGAATTTTTTTCTGCTAAGTATTTGACCTTTAAAAATGATTTTAACCCTTCTTATCCCCAGGTTTTGAAGAAGGGCAGAAATATGCTGAAAAAATAGTGGCCAAACACAAAGAAGTTCTTGAATCTATCACTGAATTATGTAGCTTTCTCACAGAGCTTGAAGAAAAGCTGAAGGTAATTTCTTCTTACCAGAATATGTATGTTTAAAAGATAAAAACTAAAATGTGTGGATCAAGTGTCTTCTAGTGCAAAGATGTTCTAATGCAAATTCTCAAGAGACATTATGTGCACATTTGTTTCACAACTTTCTAACATAATTGCTTGGTTGTTTTTAATAGTTAATTCTGTTTCTTTCCCATCACTGTAGAGAAAAATGTTGCTGAGAATGAAGGTTAAGCACAATTAAGGTGTCTTGTTTACATTTTCATGAATCATATCCTAATGGATAAATGTGTGCCATTAAAATCAAAGTCTATAATTGTTGTTCAATTGCTCAGTCAGTATCCTTATGTTTTCATTCATAAATAATGAACATAAGTTATTTTATTCTCTTCCAAATTGTGGCCCCAGAGAAAATAAAACTAATCTTCAGGTATTATAGTCATTGAACATTTAGCTTTGTGGAAATATTAAAGTAATCATTAGCATCTTTCATGGAATAATAAAATTGATGGTAAAAATAAATATGTTTATGATTTGTCTAGGTAAAATCCAGTTAAAATAGAGAAATGTATGTGTATACATGCGTACATACCTATATATGTATACACACATATGTATTTTTTGTCTCTGTCATTTCCAAACTGATTTCATTAGTGTTCTTTTCATAACTGAATGAAAGAACGAGTTATTTAGGATTGAAACAGTGGTAAGGTAATTAAGAGTACAGACTCTAGGGTAAAACACAGCCGCCTAGGAATACCAACTCTCCAAATTATTGTATTTGTGAATGGGGATTTAATCTATTAAGAGTATATTTCTTAATGACCCCGAATCTCCATTTCCTGATCCATAACATGCAGGAAACAGAGGAAACTAATCACAGGATAGCCCTGAGTACTGAATGTGAAGACACCCATGATTATTGTTGTGATTTCTGTTGGTATGGAGACACAATGGTGCTCTTGCAGTTTGGAGCAGACTTATATTTATTTTCAGCAAGTATTTTTTCTGTATGAATTTCCATGTCAGATATTTGAGTAACATTCTCTTCAAAATAGTTTGCTAAGCTTTTAATTCAGTGGGCATCCAGTCAAATTGGTTTTTTTTTTTCCCTTTGGTTGAGAATCTACATTTTCCCATTTTTACCATTTTAAATAATACTATAGTGAACATCTTTGTACATGAAACTTTTTTCTTTCTTTTGTATTATTACCTACACAAAAATTCTTTGCTTTCCATAAATGTTTTGCAATTATAATGCCACCAGTAATGTATGAATGCCCCTTACATTTTATACTATCTTTTTCAACATTTTTCATTTCCTCCTCACCTTTACCCCAACCCCTGAGGATGTGTCCCTTCTCCTGACTTTTGAAACGCAGCCCAAAATATCATTGCTCTTTTTCACTCTTGCTGCCATCTGCAGCATCTCTCCCATTTATGTTGCACATCTCCAAGTAAGCTCCACTTTAAAAAATGTGCTCTCTTAAAGAGATGCCCTTTTCCAGCTTTTCTGCTTCATGCTATTCTTCATGAAAGCTGTTTCCACTCTCTGCCTCCTTCCACTTTCCCCCTTCCTCCCACACCCCCGGGAGTCAGAATGGTACCCTCTCTTTCTCACTCCCAACCTTCCATTGCATTCTCTTTTGCTAGTAGGAACCCCCTACTTATTGACTCCTGCTAGATGATACTGCTTGTGTCGTTTTTAAATTCAAAACACCTCCCTACAGACTCTTCTTTGCTTACCAAATGAAGGTCAGACTCAAGGATTTCCAGTGTTGTGGAACTGATTGTCTTTCCAAACCATTGTGTTTCTCCACTCATGGTTGGTTCTGGCCTCCTGCCCCACACTGCCAGGTCTGCTTCTAAATTTTACAGTTGCCCCTCATATCCACAGTTCTGCTTTCCTCAGTTTGGGGTACCTGAAGTCAACCTCAATCAGAAAATATTAGATGAAAAACTCCCAAAGTAAATATTTTTTATGTTTTAAATTATGAGAGACCATATTCACATAACTTTTATTACAATATATTGCTATACTTGTTATATTTTATTATCACTGTTATTAATCACATACCCTACCTGATTTATAAATTAAACTTCATCATGGATATGTATGTACTGGAAAAAAGTGTAGTAACATATACATAGTATTTTCCGCAGTTTCAGGCATCCACTGTGGGTCTTGGAATGTATCTTCCACACTTAAAGGCAGACTACTGTACTTCATACATACACGACCTTCCATCTCTCTTGTCTAAATGGTTCTCTCAAGGCCAAATGCAAATATCACCTCCTCCACAATTATCCTTTCTTAGCTGTGTCACTCCGTCTCTGATCCGCTGTAGCACCAGTGTTCCTTCCTACCATAATCATCGCATATATCTACTATGATCATCCACCCACACTCCTAGATTATACATGAGGAAACCCTGTTCAGTTCAGCATCCCACACAACATTTAACAATATGTTTTGCCTAAAACAGGTTTTCCATAAAGGTTTTGGCATTTATAGTAAACACCCAAAGGATTGGTACAGAAAAAAAAAATTCAGTAGCTCAAAAAAGTTTGATTTGGGTGGATCTAGAAATGAGGAAGGGCCTCTATGGCAAGAGAAACAGGCATCAGCATTGCCCTTAGGAGTTACAGCCTAAACAAAACCCTGTCAAAGGATGCTAACACTTTACAGATGTTTCTATGAGAGCATAAATGTCTGGGTTTTGTTGTTAAGGCTGACTCTGTGGCTCTCTTTTGCAGGAGTTCATTAAAAAAGCAGGCCTGGAAATCCCTGTCAAGGTTAAAATAGTGATAATAATTCTTTCTCTTTGTGTAGAATTTTTATATTTACAGAGGATCTTCATAAATATTACCTCAGTGTTTTCCAAATAACCTTGTGATGGTAATAAGGTAGATGTTGTTTTCTTTGTTTTAAAAATCAGAGAGGGTAAAAATGCTTTATTTGAGGACTCACATTTAGTAGTGGTGGATCTGGAGTAGAACCTTAGTTATAATTCAAAATCGAATACTCCTTCCACAACTGTCACTTTATTATATTTTTTATTAAAGTATAGTTGATTTACAATATGTTATTTTCAGGTGGCACAGTGATTCAGATACACACACACACACACACACACATATGTATTCCTTTTCAGATTCTTTTTCCTTATAGGTTGTTACAAAATATTGAGTATAGTTCCCTGTGCTGTATGGCAGGTCCTTGTTAGCTATTGATTTTATGTATAGTAATGTATATATGCTAATCCCAACCTTCTAATCTATAGCCCCCACTACGCTTTCTCCTTCGGTTACCATACGTGTTCTTTGCATGTTTGTAAACCTCTTTCTGTTTTGTAAATAAGTTCATTTGTATAATTTTTTTCATATTCCATATATAAATGATATCATATGATATTTGTCTTTGTCTGGTTTACTTTACTTAGTGTGATAATCTCTAGGTCCATCCATGTTGCTGCAAATGGCATTATTTCATTCTTTTTGTGGCTAACATTCCACTGCGTATATGTACCACATCTTATTTATTCATTCATTTGTCAGGGGCCATTTAGGTTGCTTCCATGTCTTGGCTACTGTAAATAGTTCTGTAATGAATGTTGGGGTGCATGTATCTTTTTGAATTATGGTTTTCTTTGGTTATATGCCCAGGAGTGGGATTACTGGATCAATTGATATTTCTATTTTTAGTTTTTTAAGAACCCTCCATTCTGCTCTCCATAGTGGTTGTACTAATTTGCATTCCACTTTGGAATTAGGTATAGAGTATATACTAAAGCAGAGTAATTTATCAAATAACCTAAACCGGTGTAAGTTTTAGAGTTGGAGGTAAGAGCTGAATCTCCCCAGTAAATGTCTGCCCAAATCCTTTGAGTTGATATAACATGTACACTTTGAGAAGTATGCCTGTTTCTTTAAGGCCTATTTAATGCCCATGTTCCAGGTGGTATAGAGTAGCTTCTGTTGCCATATTCTTGTTCAGTAGCTAAGTCACATCCCTCTCTTTTTAACTCTGTGAACTATAGCACACCAGGATTCCCTGTTCTTCACTATCTCCTGGAGTTTGCGCAAACTCATGTCCATTGAGTCAGTGATGCCATCCAACCATCTCATCCTCTGCCACCCCTTCTCCTCTTGCCCTCAATCTCTCCCCGCATCAGGGTCTTTTCCATTGAGTCAGCTCTTCACATCAGGTGGCCAAAGTATTGGTGCTTCAGCTTCAGCATCAGTCCTTCCAATGAATGTTCAGGGTTGATTTCTTTTAAGATTTACTGGTTTCATCTCCTTGTAGTTCAAGGGACTATCAGGAGTCTTCTCCAGCACCACAGTTCAAAAGCATCAATTTTTTGGTGCTCAGCCTTCTTTATAGTCCAACTCTTACATTCATACATGACTACTGGAAAAATCGTAGCTTTGACTATATGGACCTTTGTCGGCAAAATGATGTCTCTGCTCTTTAATATGCTGTCTAGGTTGGTAATAGCTTTTCTTCCAAGGAGCAAGTGTCTTTTAATTTCATGGCTATAGTCACTGTCCACAATGATTCTGAAGTCCAAGAAAATAAAGTCTGTCACTGTTTCCATTGTTTCCCCGTCTATTTGTGATGAAGTGATGGGACCGGATGCCATGATCATAGTTTTATGAATGTTGAGTTTTAAGCCAACTTTTTCACTCTCCTCTTTCACTTTCATCAAGAGGCTCTTTAGTTCCTCTTCACTTTCTGCCATAAAGGTGGTATCATCTGCATATCTGAGGTTGTTGATATTTCTCCTGGCCATCTTGATTCCAGCTGTGATTCATCCAGCCAGATATTCCTCATGATGTACTCTGCATATAAGTTAAATAAACAGGGTGACAATATACAGCCTTGACATACTCCTTTCCCAATTTGGAACCAGTCTATGGTTCCATGTCCAGTTCTAACTGTTGCTTCTTGACCTGTATACAGGTTTCTCGGGAGGCAGGTAAAGTACCTGGTATTCCCCTATTATAGCAAGAACTTTCTTCCTGCTGGACCTTTGAACAGCCAATTTTTATTGGCAGTGAACTTTTATCAAAGAGGAATGAGACCTGGAAATAACTGTATAAATCATTTCATGGGAGTACGCCAGCCTTTTGTTGGATACATTTGCTGAATGACTGCCAACTTTACTGGCCCAGGCTCTCACTAATCTTCACTTTGTACAGCAGGGAGATGTTTTAAAGTTGAATCTGAATTTGGAAGACTCCTATGATGATTGCGTTGACCTACAAAAAGAACCAGCAAGAAATAAGCAAACAATATTCAATGATGGAAGGAATAAGGTAAAGAAATCCATGTATCCTCAGATACTTATTACTTTAGTTTTGAGGTTAGCATCATTGTGCATTGAAAAAAAAATGAATTGAAGCCTTATTATCTTTCTGAATTGTCCAGAGTGGATGCAGTGAATGTCCTTTCTCCTTCTTTTCTACTCATTACTTAGTCTTTCTTCTATCATGGGTGCTTTGACCTCAGAGTCTCTCCCATTGAATACTGGAACCATAGCATTTCACAGTGACATTGGGACAGTCAGTCAGACACCACACTATTGCCCCAAACTTTTGTTTCTCCCATGTTTAACTGCCTTTCTTGTTGACCTTTCAATCTCAACTTCAAATTTTACTTCTCCCTCTTTATCATACCACCAAGCTATGATTTTGTTGTTTTACACTACCCATTGGAAAACTTTAGATTGTATCTGGTTCCCATAGAATCTACTTCTAACATGATATTTCTAGGAATATGTACTAAAACATAGAATGCAACTGAAAGATAAACACTAAAGTATTTATAGAAATGTTAAATTATTTTAAAATCTATGCAGGCATAAAAATTAAGCATGTAGCAAAAACTGCAAATACTCACAAAATGCAAATACATTTCAGAAGCATTATTTAAATTGCACCATTATGGATTTTCAGTGTAAGTTGTTCACTATCTATTCATAGCTCCTGGACTATAATTAGCTCTAGATTTTATGCATTGCCAAGTTTGCTGCCAGTGTTTGTCTCTCTCCCAAGGAACTGAAGGGACAGGCAGAGTCAACGTTCTTCTCAATTGCTCCCAAAGAAAATAAAATATACCTTTTGTGGCATGAGAGTCTAAAAAATCTCCCCACTTATTGCCATCATCTCATGGAGAAAGACATCTTTTCTTAAATTAAATATGGTATTTAGAACTTCCTTATAGGTCCTTTTATGCAGGTTAAATCTATGTCAAGGTCTCATGCAATTATACAACCACCAGGCAGCAAGTACCATATTAAGTAAATTAACATTTTTTTGTGTGGGATGGCCTTGTAGCAAATAAACCCTGGCTCATCTCTGAGGCAAAGGACAGCTGCCAAACCTTAGCTGGACCTCAGTCTTGTATCAAATGATCTTTGGTTACTCTGATTGTCTAAATCAGGTTTTCTCAACCTCAGTGCTATTGACACTTTGACCCTAAGAATCCTTTGTTGTGGGAGCTGTCCAGGTGCGTTGTAGGGTGTTTCAGAGCACCCCTGACCCCTGTGGACTAGAAGCCAGCAGTACCCACTCTCCAACCACTTGTGACAGCCGAAAATTGTCTATAGAAGTTATCAAGGTCCCCGCGGGGGGGAAATCAACTTTGATTGAGACCAACTAGTCAAAATAATGAAGAATAACATTAAATGCATCACATTTTCTTAACTAAGTTGCAAGAGATACTAAATTCAACATCATATGATTTTTTTTTAGATTCTACATTGTCAACAACATATATCTACTAAAATTAGAAACAAAAGCTATTGCTACCGAAACACACTCATTTATACTTAGTAAAAATGCCTTTTCTTGCTTTTCTTAGAAAGAAATCAAAGGAACAGATTCCTTTTAAATAAAGCAAGATTTATTTTCATTGAGAAATCACTTTTACTTTAATATAAATTAAAAGACATGATAGATCATTAGCATTTAGGATAAAAGTGAAAATCCATGATTACAACTGCCAAGATCTCATTGACCTTATTTGACATATGCATTCTGGCACAACTGGCAAAGTGAAAGGGCGGCAGTAAATTTCTCTGTTAAACAGTTCAGTCATATTTACCCTCTTATTGTCTCTATCATTTGCATTATAAGTCCAATGTAATGAGTTCCTAAAATGCCATGTGGGAAGATAACCAGAAGCACCAAATAAAAAACATACCTGGAAGTCACTGCATTCAATTCTAATACCCTTACACAATGTTATTTTTCTCCAAAACATTATTTGAGTCAGAAAGAACAATTCCACCAAACTATTGCAAGAATGTATTCATCACAGGATTTTTTTCCTGGAGATAGTAAAGCGCTTCTCATTTTTCTGACTCCAAAAATGCAGCTGGTGAAATTGGGCCATTCAGTAAATGCAGTGCCCGTTGTACTGCTAACAGATCAGTGGTGGTGTTTTATTCCCTAAGGTGAGCACTGAAACTAAATCCACAGGAATATCTGAAAACCCCTAAGGTTAGGCAGAGGCACAGAGTATAAGAGCCTTGCCTAAAATCACAGAACTATCTAAGACTTGCATGTACAGTTACAGAATTCTAGTACGAGAAGGAATTTAACAATTATCTGACCGAATCTCATTTTACAGTTGAGGAAACTGAGGCCAAAAGAGATGAAGTATTTTGCCCTCCAGAAATCACAGAAAGTAGTGTCAGAACTGGGTTGGCTGGCAGCCCAGTTCTCCTGAATTTCAGCCATGTAACTTTTTTTCATAAGACAGAAAGGGAGTTCTAAGAAATTGCTGCATACAAATATAAATAAGTTATTATGTAATGATACTGTAGATTCACATGCCAAATTTTTTCCCTCTTGCCATTCATCTGTTACACAATGATTAATAAAGGAGTAGCATGGAAGTACTTTCACATCACAAAATTCAGGGGAGAGCTTTTATCAAAGTGAGTGAGGACAGCCCCTGGGCCTTCATCCACTGATCCTGATCACCTGGTTGGAGGAGTAAGATGTTCTTCAGACATTTGCTTTGGCAAAAAAATGGAAAGGGCAAAAGTGTTCTTCACCACCTTTCTGTTCTCTCTTACCTGTCCTCCCCATATTCTCAAAGGTACCAAGTTGCCCCCTGACTGCCCAAATCCCCTTCCAAAGGCCTTTCCCAGAAGTGCCTTTCATAGCCCAAGCCCTGTGTTCAAAATCTTTCTTTATCCACTTCCTACTTACCTTAAATTTGATTTGTCCCAAGAGAAGGTTATCTATTGTGGAGATATTTTAGAAGATAAAGTCTTGTGGTGATCACTTAAATTTCCCGCCTAGAAGGCTCCCCACCCTACGGACTTGGACAGTTGGTGCTATACATGTAGTTAAATGGATATAGTATATCCCTATATTCTCTATTCCAAGATGCTCACTTTGTTTTCCCACATGTTGAAGTGAAGAAGTGAAGTGCAGTGAAGTCGCTCAGTCGTGTCCGACTCTTTGCGACCGCATGGACTGTAGCCTGCCAGGCTCCCCCGTCCATGGGATTTTCCAGGCAAGAGGACTGGAGTGGGGTGCCACATGGTAGTGATTATAAAGTCAAGTGATAATGTCCATCAGTGAAAACGAAAGTTCAGAAATCCTGACAGAGATAATATATGAGGCTATAGATTGAGGATTAAGTAAAAGTTCATTGATCATTAGGTATGAAAGTGTGGTGAGATCTTTGAGGGGAAGAGTATAGAGAGAAAATTAGAGAACTTAAAGTCAAGATCACAATCATTCATATATTTAGAAGATGAGAAAAAAAGGAATCAACAAAGACAAAATTGAGAACGAGCTATGTTTTGATGCAGTAAATCAGTTTCCCAGCCACTTTGCCAGAGCTCATCAGGTTAATGCAAATATAGCCTGTCTGTACTGAGATACATGGAATTATCTACCTCTTTCTACTAATGGCAGTGGGTCCCTGGTGGCTTAGGTAGTAAAGAATTTGCCCATAATGCCAGAAACTCAGGTTTTATCCCTGGGTTGGGAAGATCCCCTGCAAAAAGGGAATGGCAACCCACTTCAGTATTCTTGCCTGAAGAACTCCATTGACAGAGGAGCCTGGTGTGCTAGAGTCCATGGGATTGCGAAGAGTTGGACACGACTGAGCGACTACACTTTGACTTTTCTTTACTACTAGTGGCAAAACATGGCTTTATGATTGAGAAATGTTAAAAATAGTTGGTATATGTGAATGTTTGAAAACCATTCTTATAAAGGAAAACTAGCAGATGCAGAAAACAATAGCTTATTGAATTCTAAAACAGATTTTTATAAAATTGCATAATGACTTAAAAACTGAAAGCTTATTTCCATTTGAGAATAAAGACAGAAGTGCCAAAAGCTAACATGATTTATGCAAAAAAAAACTTGTGTTAAACTCACTTTATTTTGCTTTCTGAGATGATTATTTAACAGAAAACTCTAGGTTTGTGCCACAGACAAAATTTATTGGGATTTCAGGAAGTCATTTGATTAACACACTCACAATAACTCTCTTAAGGTAAGTGGAGAAATGTGAACTGAACGGGCATTCAGTCAGGTTACAGCTGTGTCCAAGAGTGTTAAGTATTTCATCAGTATCAACCTGAAAGACAGTTTTCCTTGCCCTGGGTAGACAGCTGGCTTTGTACTAAACTTTGCAGTGTTCAACACTTTTATCAATAGTTCAGTTAAGTTCAGTCACTCAGTCATGTCCAACTCTTTGTAACCCCATGGACTGCAGCATACCAGGCTTCCCTGTCTATCACCAACTCCCAGATCTTGCTCAAACTCAAATCCATTTCATCGGTGATGCCATCCAACCATCTCATCCTCTGTTGTCCCCTTCTCCTCCTGCCTTCAGTTGAGTTCAGTCGCTCAGTTGTGTCTGACTCTTTGTTACCCCATGAACCGCAGTACGCCAGGCCTCCCTGTCCATCACCAACTCCCAGAGTCCACCCAAACCTATGTCCATTGTGTCGGTGATGCCATCCAACCATCTCATTCTCTGTCATCCCCTTCTCCTCCTGCCCTCAATCTTTCCCAGCATCAGAGTCTTTTCAAATGAGTCAGCTCTTTGCATCAGGTGGCCAAAATATTGGAGTTTCAGCTCCAACATCAGTCTCTCCAATGAACACCCAGGACTGATCTCCTCCTGCCTTCAATCTTTCCCAGTATCAGGGTCTTATCCAGTGAGTTAGTTCTTTGCATCAGGTGGCCAAAGTATTGGAGCTTAAGCTTGAACATCAGTCCTTCCAATGAATATTCAGAACTGATTTCCTTTAGAATTGACTGGTTTGATCTCCTTGCAGTCCAAGGAACTCTCAAGAATTCTTCTCCAACACCACAGTTCAAACGCATCAATTCTTTGGCGTTCAGCCATCTTTATGGTCCAACTGCCACATCCATACATGACTATTGGAAAAACCATAGCTTTGACTCTGCAGACCACTGTTGACAAAGTAATGTCTCTGCTTTTTAATATGCTGTCTAGGCTTGTCACAGCTTTTCTCCCAAGGAGCAAGCATCTTTTAATTTCATGGCTGCAGTCACCATCTGCAGTGATTTTGGAGCCCAAGAAAATAAACTCTCTCACTGTTTTCATTGTTTCCCCATCTATTTGCCATGAAGTGATGTGACCGGATACCATGATCTTAGTTTTTTTAATGTTGACTTTTAAGCTGGGTTTTTCACTCTCCTCTTTCACTTTTATCAAGAGGCGCTTTAGTTCCTCTTCACTTTCTGCCATAAAGGTGGTGTCATCTGCATATCTGAGGTTATTGATATTTCTCCCTGCAGTCTTGATTCCAGCTTGTGATTCATCCAGCCTGGCATTTTGCATGATGTACTCTACATATAAGTTAAATAAACTGGGTGACAGTATACAGCCTTGATGTACTCCTTTCCCAGTTTGGAACCAGTCCGCTGTTCCATGTCCATTTCTAAGTGTTGCTTCTTGACCTGCATGCAGGTTTTTCAGAAGGCAAGTAAGGTAGTCTGGTATTCCCATCTCTTTAAGAATTTTCCTCAGTTTGTTGTGATCTACACAGTCAAAAGCTTTCGTATAGTCAATGAAACAGAAGTAGATGTTTTTTTCTGGAATTCTCTTGCATCTTCTGTGATCCAGTGGATGTTAACTTGATCTCTGGTTTCTCTGCCTTTTCTAAATCCCACTTGAACAAGAAGTTCTCAATTCATGTACTGTTGAAGCCTAGCTTGGAGAATTTTGAGAATCAAAATTGCAAATCAGTAGTCTTGTGTGATTCTTATAAAAACAAAAGAAGAACTAATAAAGTCACTTTCATAAAAACGTAGCATATAGATCAAAGAGATTATGATTCCACCCATTACTTTCCACCTAGAAAGTAAATAAGTCCCAGAAATAAGCACATTTGGAGGATAACATTAATAATTTGAAATGTTTCTAGAAAAAGATTTGCGATAACTCTCTCTTATTGTCAGTAGAAATTATCTGGTATTGTTATTTTTAATGGAAAGTATTTTTCTACTTCAGGAATTATAGGGAGTATATATATATATATATATATATCCTTGGATTCCCTTCTTGAGTCTATCAGCATCTAAAAGTGAGACACTTGAGTCAGGAATTAGTAACCAGTTAAGCTGGATTGGAAGTCAGGGGTGGGACGTTTCTAGTGGGTTTCCCAAAATTTCATCTCTGATGAGACAGACTTGGCTTCCCAGTCACTTGGGTGCACAGCTGAACAACACAGGCTTCCCATGCAGAGGTGTTCATGCCTTAGAACTAATGTAGATGCAACCGCTTGGTGGAAGGCAGATCCAAAAGAGAGTGCCTCAGAGAGACAGAGCTGGCCATACTCACTCTCTTCTTCCAAACCCACAGCTTCATAAGTCAGTTCCTTCCTAGGGGGAGTATGGAGTGGGGGGATTAGTCTGGAGTTTTACCCAAATTTTTCTCCTCAGCCTGTTGCATAGGCTGCCCAAAGAAGTCATTGAGAAGTTGCCTGCCTCTGCATGACCCTAAGATTAACAAATGTGCTTGCTATCCTATGAAGTTATTCTCAACATGAATAAAGTATCAAATTCTTTTCCAAGAAAGTACTCTTTCAGGAAAAAGTGTACAAACAGGGGCTCTCAGAATGGTGTAGAGGAGATTCTTAGACTATTTTTGGATCAAAGTCACTGTGAAAAGGAAAATAAGCACTCCACTTTCAGGAAGTGGTGGAAAGAAAGACAGAGCTAAGCTGTGGTAGGAAAACCAAAAGAAGGAGGGGCATGCCCTATGCAATATGTGTTTATTTAGTAACTTTTTAATTGAAGTATAGTTGATTTACAATGCTGTGTTAATTTCTGCTGCACAACAAAGTGATTCGGTTATACATATATATACATGTATCATTTTCATTATGGTTTATCATAGGATAGGGAATATAGTTTCCTATATATAGTAGTACCTTATTGTTTATTTGTTCTCTATATAATAGCTTACATCTGATAAACCCAACCTCCCAATCAATCTCTCCCCTAACTTCCCTCTACCATGGCAACCACAAGTTGCCATGCCTGTGAGTCTCTTTCTGTTTCAGATAAGTTCATTTGTGTCATATTTTAGATTTCACATACAAGTGATACTGTATGGTATCTGTCTTTCTCTTTCTGATTTATTTCACTTAGTATGGCAAAATTTCTAGGTCCATCCATGTTGTTGCAGATGGCATTATTTCATTCTTTTTTAAAATAGCTGAATACTATTCTGTTGTGTATATATATGAACCACATCTTTATCTACTCCTCTGTTGATGGACACTTAGGTTGTTGCTGTATCTTTGCTATTTTTGTGTCTTTGCTATTGTGAATAGTGCTGCTGTGTACATAGGGAGTGTGTACCTTTTTAAATTAGAGTTTTGTCTGGATATATGCTGAGGAATGGGATTGCTGGATGATACGGTAATTCTATCTTTAGTTTTCTGAGGTTCTCCTGTTCTCCACAATAACTGCACCAACTTACATTCCCTCCAACAGTGTAGGAAAACTCCCTTTTCTCCACATCCTCTCCAGCATTTATTTTTTGTAGATTTCTTAACAATGGCCATTCTGACTGGTGGGAAGTGATAACTCTTTGTAGTTTTCATTTGCATTTCTCTAATAATTAGTGATGTTAAGCATCTTTTCCTGTGCCTATTGGCCATCTGTATGTCTTCTTTGGAGAAATATCTATTTATCATTTGCCCATATTTTAGTTGTTGCTTAGTTGTATGAGATCTGGTTTGTCATATTCTTTACAAATATTTTATCCCACTAGGAATTTTTTTTAATGAGAAAAGCTTTTACGAACTTCTGGCTTTTAGACTCAGGATTTAAATTTCTACTAAATGGCTGAAGGAAACCACTTTTTCTCAACTGGGTTTATGCTTTCTCTGAAGATAAGTCGTATCTGTAGAATAGTAGAAGGCACATTGTTTTGCTTTTAATCTTCAACCTGAAAACATATTTATTTCTCAAAAATCATTTGTATATGTAAGGAATAGAACTATGGGATAAAATGAAGAACTCAAACTCAAAACAAAACACAACTTTTTCATGTGCAAGTGGTAGTAACAGGACAAAAACCAGTAACTGTTAAATTAAGTAAAAATGCACCCCAAATGCTGTGGAAAGGCAAAGAAAGAAGTGGATATAGAACAAGCAGGTTGGGATAGATGAGATCTCTTTAAGCTTCGATACTGTTTTGAGTCCATGCCAGAAAGGATATTTGAACCTCTTATCAAACCAGAGATGGATGTGGATAAGTGGAGAGAAATCCTAGAACAGAGTAAGTGAAATGGATCACTGGTTTCCTCAGTCTCCTAGCATGATGTATGTTCCACATGGGGCAGAAAGACAAGTGGCAAGTGTTCCTCCACTGTGTCTTGGTGTGTTCTCCAGCAAAAGGCCGCAATGTGTGATTGGTCCCTTTGTATCTACTTCCCCACTAGGCTGGCATCTCCAAGAGGGAAGGATTCTACCTAGTTTTACTCACCATTTAACTCTACTGTGTCTAGCATAGTAGCCAGTACATAATAGGTACTCAGTAGATATTTTTCACTGTAAGAATAAAACTAAGGGTCTTTTAGAAAGTAAAGCCAGTCATTAAAAAATGGCTTTATCTATATGAGTTATCTACAGTTTTCAAATTCATAGAGACAGAAAATAGAAGGGGCTGAGAAGGGGAGAATGGGAGGTTACTGTTTTATTGGTACAGACTTTGAATTTGTAAAGAGGAAAAGGTTCTGGAGATGGATAATGGAGATGGTTGCATGACAACATGAATGTCCCTAATGCCACTGAACTGTACACTTAAAAATGGTTAAAATGGTAAATGTTAGATTGTGTGTATATTTTGCCACAATAATTTTAAAAAAGGAATGGCTTTCCTGAGAAAAACGCAGGGTTATTCTTGGAGGATGTGAGGATCACCTAAAAAGAAGCTTCTGATGTTTAGGAACCACATTCTATGACGTGCAGATAGATAAGTAAACCAAAGCAGAATTTGCTAGTGGAAGAAGACTCCTCAGACCATGATTTTAAAAACATGGATCCAGTCCAACCCCATCATGAGAGACAAGAACCAGAGCTTTCTCTCCTCTATTTCACAAGATCTGTCACCTCTCACTTAGCCGCCGGAGGTCAGTTTACCCATTCCTTAGTCATGGGACTGTCTATGCTCAGGTTCAGTGGACGAATGGTTTCAAGTTCTGTGAGGCTGGGGCCAGGGCCCCCAGCTGTCACTCATTTCGGTTCTTCTCAAGTTGTTTCTCCAGTTGGCTTTGTCAACATTAACTTGAAACTTTGGCTTTTCCATTTTGAAGGAGCAGGCCCAGCCAGCAGCCATCTTGGCCGTCAACGGAGCACGAAAGCGTCAGCTTCCACAGGGCATGAAGCAGCTGGTCCCCGGCCAAGAGAGTGCTGTCCAAGGCCTGCTTCTGCCTGGGGACGTGCTTTCAGGAGAAAAATATCAGTGTGTTTCACCCGACGACATCTCCCTGCCTCCAGTCCCAGGAAGCCCCGATTCTCTCCTCTCTCCGTCCAACATGGAGCTGGAGGCGCGTGGCAGCCGGTTCCCCCGCCATCACCTCAGTGGCCACGGGATGCAGACGGGGGCCAGCGGTCCAGGAGAGGCCCCTGAATCTGGCTTTCCTCCACCTGCTGCTTTTGCTGATGCTTGCAATGATAAGAGAGAAACGTTTTCAAGTCATTTTGAGAAGCCTTCCCCCCAGGTCCAAGCCGAGCCCCCATTAACATCCCAAGGATTTCTGGAGAAGAGTACTGCCTTCCACAAAATCAGTGCTCAACTTCCAGAGAGCATGCGCAGTGAAGTGCATGACAGAGCTTCACAACAGCACCCCCAGGCTCAGGGACATTTGCTAGAAAGACCAGAGAAAATGCATGCTGATAATAACGTCACTAAAACCCGAAATAGGCTGCATGCTTCCCAGGATGCATTCTCGGGCCTCGGGTTTCATCCAGGCCCCAGCCAGGCCTGTCAGAGGCAAATGGTTCCCCGAGAAGAGATTATAAGTACACCAGCTAAGAACAGTATGGTCAGCCTAGCTGGCCAGGCCCCTAATTTTTCCAGGCTCCTGTCTAACGTAACTGTCATGGAAGGTTCTCCAGTGACTTTGGAAGTTGAAGTAACAGGATTTCCAGAGCCTACACTGACATGGTGGGTAGCCTATAATGACAAGCCGTAAACAGAAACAAATTGAATCTCTTCTCTAAGCAAATCATTCTGTGTGCACTAACTTTAAAGTTTAGGGGAAGCTGTTTAATGTTCTACATCACGGCAGCTGTGCATGTTTCAATCTCACACCAAACCCCCAACTCTCATTTTTAGTAACCACATGGCTAATACTCTTAAAAAATAACCATATAAAATAGTAATTTAACCAAGTCCAAAATCACTACAACTTAGTTGCACCATTTTTTAGTATCAGTTTGACATTCCACATTTTTAAAGATTGTGGCTTAAACTTCTTTCCTACTGTTTATTTCTACACAAGCATGAAATTTTCTTGGTTTAATAACCTGAATTCAGTGGGGAAAAAAAAAAGCATTTGGATATTTCCCTTTTCTGTCATTTACCTGTTTCATCTTTTCCCTCTCACAATAGAGTCACACATGCCACTTTTCTAATATTGTTTATTTCACTAAGATTTCTTTTTATAAATTTCTTCAATGTTGAAGATGGAATAAAAATATTGCCTTCATAGTTGCTTCTATGGTAGGCAATAAGCACCTTTTTGAAAGGTGGCATAATAACTGAGCTGTGAACAATGTGGTTTTACTCTAGAGACATCATTATTTTTAGCCTATTTATTTTAGTAAAAGTAAAACACAGAATACAGGTTTTAAATCATTGTTGTTATAAAAGCAGTTCTAACTTCCTTAACATGTGGGTTACCTTTAAACATTTAGAAACTTTTCAACCTTAAATGTATTTCTTTGAGGACAAAGTTACTAAAATGTGAGCACAAGTTTATACTTATAAGCCAAGTAAAATAGCATTTGTTTATCATAATGTTTCAGTAGACAATAACAATTTCAATTACTGTGTTTTCCCATTGATGGTACTTGAAGTGTGGATCAGTTATCTAAATTATTTATGAAAAAACATTGGTCTCTCAGATTATTAAATGAAATTGCACTTGGATTACAGTGCAGCCATTTATGCTTTTTGTCTTATTTTGTTGTCTTTACAATTGCATGTTTTTTACAGATCAGGAATTTCATATTTATGAATTTAAATATCAATAAATTCATTATTTAATATCATTATTTAATTCATTATTAAATATTAGTTCACTCCAAAGAAAAAGGTTGTCTGAAGTGTTTCTTGTTTTTGTCCACACAAAAAAATGGCTTGGTTAGCATTTATTGTTGAAGAACTACTGTGATATTATGAAAAAAAAATATCTTGCCCTTGAATTTACAACAATTTTTCTCAGTTAACAACTGGCAAGCTGTCAGGGAATCAGTCTTAGGACACTCAGAAAAATGCAAAATCATCACTCAGGAGGCACTGGGAATAGAAAGTGATTCAGGTTTGTCACCACTTCTTGGGTGGAACAACATGAGGAGAAATAAATAAGCAAGAATCTAGAGTGTGCAAAATAAACATTATTTGCTTTATACAATGCTGCAGCTAAGTGCTCATATTCATAAGAAACTTTCAGAAATGTGTCATTATAGTAACAATCCAATTGCATGGATGCCCTTTATAATTAGAAATCATTTTCTTCTAATGAAATTAATTCACAAAAATTAAATGAGCTCATCTTGCCAGCAAGTGCTATATCTGTACCTCCTTCTAAAGGGCACATTGGTATTCTCCAGGGATCTTTAAGGATGAGTCTGATGGGGAAGAGTCTTCCTTCAGTAGACTCTAAGAAGTCACAAGCTGCTGTTTCATAGCAGCTGAAAGAATGACACAGGTCAGATAGAAGGTGCCATTTCCCACTCAGGGTAATTGTTTCCATGAGAATATGGTGGCCCAGTGTGACCAGATGGCCTGGTTTTGTTAAGAGGAGTTGGATATCTGAATTTTCATATGCAATAGTCTTAATTGTTAAATGTCAAAAAATTCAGTGTTTAAAAACACAGTCTGAGTCCATCCAATACTTCCTTGGCCACAATTGCCAACCACTGCTTAAAAGAAAAACAGCTCCACTGGGTTTCTGGTTGCTACAGAGTTCCCGCTAATGCTAGAAAATATTGCAGTAGCAATGGGCCCTATTGCAGTGCTTATTAGAACTTGGAAATGATGTGAATAAACCATGATCCTGACTGTAAAAATCGACTCTCTGCTTCAGGTACAAGAAGGGCCAGAAATTGTCTGCAGATGGGCACTTGCAGGTTTTACACAAGGAGACAAGACACTTGGTGTTCATTCCGAAGGTATGCAAGGCAGATGCAGGCCTCTATGTGGCGCGGGCCCAAAACCCTAGTGGCATTCTCTCCTCCAGTGTCAACCTCCACGTGACAGGTAACCACAAGCCGCCCATCACGAGGATAAACTGGATCATGCTGTGTGTCATCTATGTTACCGTGTCCCTAATGTACTGGCTGTTCACACAGTAACTGCAGGGTTGGCACCCATGGATGTCCTTCTCATGAGCCTAAAGGACAACAATACAGCTGTTTATTTTCCTGCATCTCCCATTTAGCATCCCCCACCAAGTGTACTTCCAGTCTAGCCATATTGCTTTTTTGGCTAATGCCACAGGTCTGTGAAATAATCTAATTTTCTTTAGTGCTTTAATGTATTTGAAGAGCTTGGTAAATCATTAGCAGTGAATCAGGATACAGCTTTGAATTCTAGAAAGAGATGTGTTCCGTATAAAACCTAGTCAAATTATACCATGTTTATTCCCTCCTAATTTAAGAGCATGCATACCAAGGCTTACATAGATAGGCAGATGTGAGTTTTATTTCAAAGCCAGCTGTTTGATAATCTGTTTTTAATTGTACTCATAAACATCTCTTTGTAGAGTAAGAACAGAAATGTTGAGCTAAAATTGTAACTTTCATTATTGTGCAAGATGTCTTTCAATTTTGCTTTTCCTGTCTTGATCCCATTTATTGAAATATGTTCTATGTAGTTTCAATGTAGCCTACATTCCTGAGTCTGAGGATGGCACTGCAAATAATAATTCCTCCTGTTGATCTCATGGGTTTGACGTTGGAGAATAGATGTGCCATCAGCTTTAAATGGAGATTGAAATTTCCATCAGCTGTGTGTGTCACAGAGCAAGGTGGAGCATAGCTGTCGAGGTGGATCTACAGTACTCCTGTCCTTCCACTGACATATTTTGGGCAGCCATGTGTATACAATTGTAACCAACTCCTCTTGCTTCTAGTCTTGTCCTGCTGCTAACCATTTTTACAGCCATTATAGTGGTAAGGCATCTCAGTGCTCATTTTCCCATTTGGAAATGGGTTCATAATCTACCTCTTGGGCAATTGATGGTTTTAATTTCATGTCTTGTAAAGATCTGGAAAATGGAAAGTACTCTATGAAGGCTAAGGGTAATTATATTCTTTCATGTAATTTGTCATCACACGGCCTCCTGCCCACTATTTCTCCTTCAGGTATTGTTTCTTTAGAATATTAAAAATTAAAAGAGTGGAGTTAGTATGTGATTTTGAACTGTTTCCATGTAGGAAAATGATGTTTTCTGAATTGACACTTAAATACTTTCCAATTTCTTAAGACTATCTCTTTTTCAAAGATTTGAAATTAAACTCAGGGGGATATATTTAGTATGATCTCAGAGAGAAAAAGTATATAATAGGATGACATAAGATGAAGTCTATCCTTTTCTTATAATTATCCCTGTAATATTGAAGAATGTTCTGTGCCTTTCTGAAACATGTTATTCAGAAAAGAGGATCATCATTTTAGTTCATAAAAAAAATAAGCATGTATAGGAGAAGCATTTGTTTTTAGATTTTAAATGTAGTCTCATCATGTTAGGGTAAAATCTATAGTTGAAAGAATATTCATTATAGATTTTTGATAGAGAGGAGGAATTAATTATGTTGCTGTAAAGACTGTCTGCAAATAAAAATATTTAAATTTAATATATTCAAGTTGATATTAAAAAGTTACTGGATGTTATCTGAAGATGTGAAATTTGTGGCTAAGTAAAAATATACGTGTGGCATATATTTTCTTGTGCTGTGTGTGTATTCAGTTTAATTTAAAAATTTAATCTCTTAATTTTCTTAAAAATTTCAACAGAAACCTATTAAAAACTTCCGTACACAGTATCCCAGGGAATTCATAGTCTCTTAATTCACCTATCCTTTTTGTCCAGTTTCAAGTATTGTGACTATCTTGCCAAATTGCTATTCTCATTTGAAGCTAAAGAGTAAAACCTACTTATGTCCAAAGAGGGCTGGCAGACCCAGGTAACAAATTCTTATCTTACTATATCTCTATCTTGTTAATTTAGTGGGATCTCCCATCCCATTTTGTCAGTTTGGTTGAATTTTTTTAATAGGAGAAAGTCAAACAAAAGTTTAATAACATGTGTACATCAGAGAGGCCCAGAAAAACTGATTAATGCCAGCTTGGTTGAAATTTTGGTTTGAGGTTGTAAGGGCCTGGGAATTACTGGTTTGCTTTACCTGTTGCATGCTAGTTATTGCTAATCCTTTGAGGAGCAGAATGAGATATACATATACCCATGGTGTGTGACCAAATAAGGCATATAAAGTCCCTGATATATTTGATTTATATATCAAATATAAGGTATATCTGTGTATATATATATATAAGCTTTATATATATAACTATATCTCACATGTTTTTATACATATATACATAAAGCTCAAATGTTGAAATAGAGCATTATGCTGATAGTCTTTTTATAGTTCCAGCAGCTGTGTGTCTGTCTGTCTTTTTATCTATCATCTATTCATCCATCCATCCATCTATTTATTAATATTTACCTATCTACCCACTTACCTACCTACTTATTTTTCCTGGTTACTCACTACCTAGTAATCCCCACAGCAGTGAAGAATAGCTTGCTGTTCAGTTATTCTTCAGGCTATATTTTAATTTCAAATACTTAAGTGTGATTATTCTTTTGGTTAAAATTTTTGTCTTGATGAAAAATTCCCCTTATGAAAATATGAACCAAAATTATTGGTTAAAAGTTAGGAAAAGCTTAGGAAATGGACATGATGTTTCTATTTTGAGATATATATATATATATATGATTTATACCTATTTACTTCTAAATTCTGGACAGTTAGCAATATCAAAACACTTTTCAATAAGAAAATGAAAATGACAAAAAAATTTTAAAGAACCTATACTCGATACCAAGGCAAAATAATTTTTTCCTGTTTTTATTTCCTAACAAAAGGATGTATAAACATTTGATGGTAAAGTTGTTTTTTTTTTTTTACATTCAATTCCAGGACAAATTTATCATAGGAATCATCATATTTGAATCTTCACATATTCTATAATATATAAAATATTTGGAAAAAGAAGCAGGAACATTTAGCTTATTCATTCAATAATGGTAACCATTATTTAAAACCAAGACACAGCTTAAAGTAAATTATTGCAAGAACTTCCTAACCACTTCATCCAAGTTTATATTTCTTCAGGTATCACACAAAGCCCTTCAGTACCTATGTTTCCATTCGTAGCCTCTATTCGATCCCTTCTGATCAACATCAAGTGATACCTAACTTCAAGTTGTACCCTATCATGCTGTTACTTCTCTTCAGTCCTCCTTCCCAGAACTGCCTTACTGTAGTCCACCCAACTTTATATGGCTTAATTCCTGCTTATCCTTCTAGGTCCTTTTGAGACACAACCTCCCCAGGAAGACTTCTGACCCATCAAGTCCAGTATAGATGTTCCTGTCATGTGCCCTGTCATCATCCAAGCTGCCCTTGTCATGTCCCTTAATAGTTGCATCGGAATTGCATGCATGAGCATCTGTCTCCTGGCTAAAGTGAGAGATGCTTATCAGCAGGATCTGTGACAGCTCTGTTCATCATCATGTTCTCAGCACCTAAGGCATAGTCACACTCGATATTTTTTGAATTGTTGTCAGAGGTAAGAAAAGATAAGCCTAGCTTGTTTTTCCTTTTTCTTTTGGAGAGATGGATGGGAAAATGTAAAAATACAAAGATGTTATTTTTTTGCCTGATTATTATTTCCTGTTATGGAAATTAACCACTTAGAATCAGATTCTAACTGTGGAGGATACATAAAACTCTCTCACCTAACCTATGAAACTTAAGAGAGAACCCTTCAGATCATCAGGCTTTCTTGGTAGCTCAGCTGGTAAAGAATCTGCCTGCAATGCAGGAGACCCTGGTTTGATTCCTGGGTTGGGAAGATGCCCTGGAGAAGGGATACTTACCCACTCCAGTACTCTTGGGCTTCTCTGGTAGTTCAGACAGTAAAGAATCCACCTGCAATGTGGAGACTTGGGCTCTATCCCTGGGTTGGGAAGATCCCTTGGATGAGGGCATGGCAACCCACTCCAGTATTCTTGCCTGGAGATTTCTATGGACAGAGGAGTCTGATGGGCCATAGTCCATGAGGTTGCAAAGAGTTGGACATGACAGAGCAACTAAGCACAGCACAGCTTCAGGTCATCTGGACTGCACCCAAATTGAAACTTTAAACTTAAAAATCTGTGATGGCTCTAGTAGTCAAAATAATATTGAGGAGATAAGTCAAAATCCAGGATCATTTTCCCAGCATTTTAAAGTAGATATCAGTCAGTTCAGTTGCTCAGTCATGTCTGACTCTTTGCAATCCCATGGACTGCAGCAATGCCAGGCTTCCCTGTCCATTACCAACTCCTGGAGCTTACTCAAACTCATGTCCATTGAGTTGGTGATGCCAGCCAACCATCTCATCCTCTGTCATCCCCTTCTCCTGCCTTCAGTCTTTCCCAGAATCAGAGTCCCTTCCAATGAGTCAGTTCTTCACATCAGGTGGCCAAAGTATTGGAGCTTCAGCTTCAGCATCAGTCCTTGCAATGAGTACTCAGGACTGATTCCCTTCAGGATGGACTGGTTGGATCTCCTTGCAGTCCAAGGTACTCTCAAGGGTCTTCTCCAACACCACAGTTCAAAAGCATCAATTCTTCAGTGTTCAGTTTTCTTTATAGTTCAACTCTCATATCCATACATGACCACTAGAAAAACCATAGCTTTGACTATATGGACCTTTGCTGGCAATGCTTTGTTTTCCAATGGCCTTTGGCCAGGCAGGCTCCTCAGTCCATGGAATTTTCCAGGCAAGAGTACTGGAGTGGGATGCCATTTCCTTTTCCAGAGGATGATCCCGACTGGGGGATTAAACCCAGGTCTCTCGCATTGCAGGTAGACACTTCACCCTCCGAGCTACTAGGGAAGCCCAAAGCAGATATAATCAGCTGTAAATCCTCATTAGGTGTAAGTGGAGAAGTGGGCATCTCACCTCTCAGTGACTAAGTGCAA